TGCTAAGAGACTTATTCAGAGGGAAGACAAATCTGAAAAAATATTTATTTATTTATTACAAAAAAGCAAAAATACTTGAATAAATTGAAGCCTCGGGATATAATCTTGGTCCCTGGGTAATAATGATATATTCTTCACTACCTTGGTGTATAAGTAACTATAATACTCTTGAAATATCCTTAATTCATGAAAAATTTGTCAAATTACTCATCAACAGGTTGCTCTTCAACTAACCAAAATCTCAAAATGAGGTAATGTTTATATTCGCGTTGTTGCCGCTAGTAAAATTAGAACATCCGAAGTTGCGTCCCGAGTTACCCCGAGGTCTCAAGTATCTACCATTTTACGGTACCCTTCATCTGGTAAACGATAGCCTTTTCGGACCCAAGTTTATATGAACTTTTTTCATATTATGTTGAGAAGAGTCTATCCTAGGCTTTTGTCACCGCAACTTTGAAAAACCCTCTATTATATTTCGAAGGGAACCTTTGGCACGATAATACACTGTTTTATTACTAACCAAACCGAATTTTTGAACGTCTCGACACGTGTTGCGCTAACTATGTTAGCATCTTCAGGAGAACATTAAAACTAAATATCTTATACTTATCCTATGCTGCTTATATACTAGGTATAATATTGTCTGTTCATTCAATCAAAATATGTCTGTCTGTCAAGTGGCGCTGAGGACGAGAAATTGAAAAGAGCTCATTTGTTTATGTCTCCTTCTATTTTTCTCCAATATGTACTCAACCACAGACGTTCTTTCCATTATTGACGTGATATTTGATAGGAAGGCGATGCAGAAAATTCTTTTATGAGATTGAGATTTCGTAGATAATCATAAAATTATTTTCTGACAGTTGTCATTAACTTATAACTTTGTCTTTGTGGATATGTTGAACTTTGAATTCGTATCCTTGAAAATTACAATTATACCTAATTATTTCTTCTAGTATTGGTTTTCTATTAAAGTTTGTTGATTGGTTTGTGAGTGCGATTGTGTTATTTTGCAATGTCATCTGAAAACTTCGCACTCCAGGAGGTGGAGGTGTAAAATTATCAAGACATGGTTTCCCCAATCCCCACTGTTGTGAATTTGAGCCTCAAATCCTGAGGCATAAATGGGTTTATGACATATACATTGGATTCCAAGGTGAAATTTTTTGCATGAATCGCATAATATTTGAAACTTAATGCATTGATATTTCAGGAATGGGAGTTCTTGAAGTAAGCGAACATGATACTGTATGTTTCCAACATTTTAAGGGAACTGTTTCTTGCCAATGAAGAATAGGAAACGGTTTTGGAAGGAGGGTTCCATTCCAAGTTTGTTTAAGGTAGGTAAATGATATTTAACAAGTTTGTACCTATACAAACTTTTCAATCAGCTTATTAGTTTCTAGTTTACTTTAACTATTAGTTTCAGTATAAAAATTACCAAGAACTTGACTTTGGTTCCTCTGAAAATTGTTCCATAGTCAAAAGTCATTAAATTCATTCCAGAATGGTACAGTACATTGAAACTAGGGACAAAATAGGTATCAATATTTTTATAATTTCAGACTCATCAATGTAGTTTGGAATATGATGCTGAAGAGGAATGCCTTCCTTAAGGAACACGACCTGAAGATGAAGAAGCATCTGAGGAGGAAATGGGCATTCGAACAGATATTACAGAATGATAATAAATAATTATGAAGTATATTCAAAATGTTGACACAATATAAATTGAAAAGTTACATATTGGTATTGAATATTCCTGCGGTTTAATTTGTGGTAATTATAGACAGATCTTCTCATATTTAGTGAAGTTAGTGGCTTCAGTAAGATGATTTCTATTCTGAATATCCCAGCATCTTTAACAAGAACCCTGAACAATAGGAAACCATATATCTGAAGATAATTCCTATACAATCTTGAAATCACTTTACTCTAGTGAAATTTTGATTGGCTCACTATGAAAATGGTCCTGGGTGTGCTTGAGTGGAATATCACATGTTCCTCATCATCTGATTGATTGGTTGAAAAATAAATAAGTTGAAAATACATTGGGGTGTGTATAATTTGCGGACTAGAATGGAATGCTGGGGACTGGCTATTCCTAGCAAACAACTCGTTGTTTTCACTGCATATCTGGATTATTCAGCTCATTGAACTACAGGATAAAAAGTTTCTGATTCTATTCACTGATGCCTTTCCTTGTGTGTTTTTTCTATAAAATCTTGTGAACTGGATATTTTGATATTTTTGCAAGTCAAATCATCTGAATTTTCTCCAAAATCGAATAATCTCATGACTATGCATGCGAAATGTATGTAATATAAGCGGGTGGGTTCAAACAATTCATCAGCTGATATCATGCAAAAAATCTAGATTTAGGCACATTATTATGTAGGTAAAAAACTTACACCTACTTTCACGGAGGTACCTACCTACGAAACATATTATGATAGTTTTTGTTTGGAGCAGAGTATCCATAAGACATTGGTAAAATAACCAGATTGAGTCTAACCTTATTGCTTCTATATTTCAGATGGGAAATTTTCCTTTGTGCTCTCGAACATCATCATCCTTCTGGTACATTTCTTCTGAACATTACTCACATAATGATTCCTAATGTGATTCTTCCACATCAATTTGTTTGTACCACTCATAGTTTTTCGTTTTTTAACTCAAAAGCTATTCATGTAGTTACTCTTCGCTGTAGGTAGGTACCTGAAATTTTCAAGTCTAGTGATTCCGATGTGTACAGTGTGTCCAGTTTTCGATGCTTTTGCATGATATCTCAGTTATCTTTGGAGATAGAACCTTGCGGTTTTCGCGGTCCTGTGCCACTTTTTTGTGAAACTCAAGATGGCCTAATCAAATTTTGCAGGACTGTTTCCGTTTATGAGATACAGGGCGATTTTGAAAATTTATACTTTTTGGACCCCCTCTGTATCTACGAAGTTTATCAGCGAAAATGTCAAATTAAAATCTTAACCCATAGAGAATTTCATGCAGAATCCAGTGGCGCACAAAATTTTTTTTTCGGGGTGTGGTTTTGAAAATACGACTCAAACTTATGATTTTTTAAATTGAACACCCTGTATTTTATAGGCTCATTAAATTCCTTATTTTTTTCCCTTCGAAATGATATATGATGTATGAATATAACATCTTCAAAAATGTTAAAAAATCACTAAAACATTGAATTTTAATAGTGGGCTATGGGTTTTTCGAGGGATTTTCATATAAAGAAATTCACAATTGAAGGAATATTTCCTTTGATTGTTCCACGAAGGGGGAAATAACAATTTCAACACTAATTAACTTGCAATACACAAGACTCAGATACCTGATATCCACAAATATATAGTTATGAAAAGTTTATAATGTAGAATAAGCACCTGATTGAATATTTACTAAAACAATTGAATTTCGAAATTATTCAGTGATTTATTCATTGAATTGTTCAAATTGATGTCCATTTTTCATTACAAACTTTCTCAATACATATTAATCATTGAAAGATGTCTTTGTAATTCCTGGAAAACTGCCTCTGTTTTTGCACAAAGTTCTTCAACTATGTTGGGCCACTCACTGTATTAAGAAGTATTGAGAAAGTTTGTCAACTGTATGTTGGGGAAAATGGATATCAATTTGAACATGTTAATGAATAAGTTACTGAATAATTCCGGAATTCAATTATTTCAGTAAATATTTAATCAGGTGCTTATTCTACATTATGAACTTGTTATTACTATTTATTTGTTGCTATCAGGTACCCAAGTTTAGTGTTTTGTTAATTAATAAGTGTTGATATTGGTTTCGACCTCTCCATGGAAAAATTTAAAGAAATATTTCTTCAATTGGAACGTTTTTCATAAGAAAAATCCATAACCAACTATCAAAATTCAATATTTTAGTGATTTTGAGCAATTTTGAAAATTTTATATTCATTCGTTATATATCATTTTGAAGACAAAAAAATAAGGAATTCAATGAGCTTATGAAATACAGGGTGTTCCATTTAAAAAATCATAAGTTTGAGTCGTATCTCCAAAACCATACCCCGAAAAAAAATTTAAGTGCGCCACTGGATTATGCGTGAAATTCTCTATGCGATAAGATTTTGATTTGACATTTTTGTTGAGAAACTTCGTGGATATAGAGGGGGTCCAAAAAGTATAGATTTTCAAAATCGCCCTGTATCTCATAAACGGAAACAGTCTTGCAAAATCTGATCAGGCCATCTTGAGTTTCACAAAAAAGTGGCACAGGACCGCGAAAACCGCAAGGTTCTGTCTCCAAAGATAACTGAGATATCAGGCAAAAGCATCGAAAACTGGACACACTGTACATGGTTTACATCACTAAATACATGTTTTCACTGCAAATAACGTTATTTCATGAATTATATAGTAACTTATCAAAAATATAGAAGGAAATCAGCAGTCCCTACCTTCTGCTTGGCTTGCATGTCGAAAAAGTGTAAAAGCACCGATGAGTTTCCGGAGTTTCCACAGTTCCAACTTAAATTCAAGTTGCATCATAAGTCAACCTAATACAGCATTGCCTAAACATCTTCCTGCTTCCATTCATGTATAGGTAGATGGTTTTCATACTTGATAATATCTTTCGTGATAATGTTTCATTTTTGGGTTTCAACATGACAGATTTTTATTTGCAAACTTGACAGGACCATGAAAAATCTTTCGATTAGGAATACAAAATGAATAACTTGGTTTACTTAGTTCACGTAGATGTCTCTGAACTACTTATTTCCTTCATTTTTCTTTTCAATGAACAGACAATATTATAGCTCCTGCCTACTAACTACCTAACTAGGTTGTCATCTAGAACGAAAATGGGTGAACATATACCTAGTATATTAGTTCTAATCTTCTCCTGAAGATGCTAACATAGTTAGCGAAACACGTGTCGAGTCGTTTGAAAATTCGGTTTGGTTAGTGGTAAAACAGTGAAGTGTACCCTCTATTATTTCCTTGCTTCAGTGCGTGCGAGAAGTGCTCCTGCTCGGCCACCGACAAGCGTTCGCATGGATCGACGAGTGGATCGACATGTCCATGGCAGACGTGCGCGTGTACGAGTCCAGCCTCCAACAGCAGACCAACAGCCTGCTCCAAGGGCAGAGTGGGCGTCCGCTGGGAGGGCAGACGGAGAGCCTGCCCGAACGTGACGCGCCGCCCGTCTCGCGTCGCATTTCGGGAGGCGGGGACGCAGGCGAGAGTCTGTCGCTGGGCGGCACTGCTCCCAGTTCGCCGAAGGAGCCGAAGAGTCCGGCGAGGAAGGGGTACTTTTCGAATTGGTTCTAGTCAGAAGGGTGTCGTTACTTATATAGCGTTTCGCACTCGTCACACCAGCTCGAACTTTTTTGGTACTGAGCGCGATTAGCGTGGTCCACTGAGAATTTCAAAAGGTTTCAGAACCTGCTTGTGCGACGGTGCGATATACATAACCTGTTAAATATTCGCGAGTGGGAAAATATTCATTCAAAATGCGAATGAATATGAATTTCTCATTGGAGTTCATTCCAATGATATCCCGAAATATATTCTTTGGATATTAGCGATGATGAAGAAATTATAACTGAGATACAGAACTACTTTGTTACTTCATGTTCTGGTTCCCACGAAAAAGTGACCACAAAGGGGTGCGAATCCTCAACTCGACGGGTTAATCTCGCGGGGACTGCCAAGGGAGGAACAATTGTTGATATTTCAGGAGAGCATCGTCCATGAAAATATCTATAACATAGAACCAGATCGCCAATTTTTCTACGGTGTTCCAGAGAAGTGAGTGAGTTTGTGAGCGAGGCATCACCCACAGGACGAATTGCCCTTTTTTGGACAGAATCCAACAGTTTCAGGGTATGTTTCGGTGCTGCAATCCAAATATGGGAACAGTATTCCAGGACAGGTCGGATCTGTGCCTTATAGATTCTAAATTACATAAAAGTCTTATTCAGATGTGCAGGTATTAAAAGCATTCAATTGTTGATTCATTGATGATGATAAATACTAACTTCATAAAGAACACTTCATGGACAATGAACAAAACATCTTCATTCATATAATACTGTTGCTGGTAGTGATTTCACAGAGAAACCACAACAAGTGGATTGATCAATTTCATGTGGACTAGCGAAACCAAAATGTACTATCAATTCTGTCAAGCACCCAAAGGTCACACCAATTCTCGATTTCTATTCCACTGCTCTGTGCTGGAACCGCACGTTATGGAAAAACCCCATCAGTGCCACTTGTACTTGTTCTGTGCTAGAGTGTTCTGTGAGTCGGCGAGTTGAAAACGCACTGGCTCTGGTTCGGTTCTTCCAAATAGTTGAGTTTCAGCGCAGATCAGTGGAATAGAAATCGATACTTGGTGCGACTAGAGTGACTTTATAAATAGAGTGACGACAATAGACATCCAAATGGCTGCCATTTTCGGAATGTCAAGGTCACTGAATAGCTGAACATCTGAAGGGTATCTCCCATGCATTAATGAATTTGCGCCTTCGAAGTGCCCACCTTATGTAAGGTTTAGATATTTGATATTTTTATTTCATTATCTGAATAATCTGAGACTTACGACTTCCAAATGACGGATTCTGATAGTTAATATCCAAGGTACTGACGTCACTCTAGGTGCGACTATCTGTTCCCTGCATATACGTATTAATAATCAATACGGATAATCTCCATCTGTTCCCATAGCGAAACATGAAGCCGATTTTTGAAGACAAATGACTATCCATAAGGAAACCTTTTGAAACGATCAGACACATACTGCTTTGATTGAAAGGCTAGTAAACGTCATTGTCCACCGAAACGCATGTCTTTGATGACTACTATAATAGCGCATGGCGCATGCGTATCATGCCACCAAATCCTTATGGATATTCATTTGTTTCATATTTTTGGCTTCATCCTGGCACCCGTTATGATCCGTATTGTTTATTAATACGTATATGGTTCCCTGTCGTCAGAAATCTCAGAATTGCTTTGTCAATCAAGAATTTAAATTACTGATAGTGCACTTCCAGAAACAGTCTTATAAAAGTTCATTGTCAATGATGTTCAATTGAATGTCAACAATTGTGATTGAGCATTGAAGTGTCGTCTAAGAAGTTAGTATTTTTCATCATTACTTAATCAAGAATTGAATATTATTTTTGATACCTGAACATCTGAATAGCTTTCTTCAACTTCCCAGCGAACAATTTTGATCAGCCCTATGCTGGCCCATAATATGCTTGCCAGAATTGGCCAGAACGTCAAAATTCCTGTGAACATTGATGGGCCACTACCAATAGGAGACACTGGCCGTCATCAGGCCCAGTACATACCTGCCGATACATTCAATTGAAATAGAAGACGACCGCCACGGGATTCGAATCTCGGTCCCCCGATATTACTTGGTTACATATCGAACTTGAAATATTCCAACTGAGCTACTTCACCTTCATTGAAATGATATATGTTTACGGAATTGTTTTTTCGCTTAAATTTCGAATAGGGATATTTCATTAATAATTACTAGAGGTCCTTCTGCTCATTAGTGTTCTGTGTAGGCTTTGTTACTATCTCCATACGCCACCTTAGGAGCAGCACTGTTATTTGGAACGCAACAGCGAATCGTGCAGAATCATCTCCGGCCGAAAATTATAATTTATAATTTGTTTTATACATAAGGATTCCTTGCTCTTCCAGGTATTCGAATCTAGCAACCTTTCGATGTTCTGATAGTCGAGCGCCTCAACCAATGCGCTATTCCACCGTCCTAAAACTTGGATTTTTCAATTGAAACTGAAATATAATCATACTCCAATTGTGCCGGCTACATTATAGTGAAACGATTTCAATATGCCATGAAGTGGGTAGACGATTGTATGACGTAGTTAACCATAACATAATACGAATTGACACAATTGTTCCAGTGCCGGCTGAATTATAAGCAACGATTACAATATGTCATGCAATGGGCCGATGTTTGACCATTGCAGCTTGGCCATGGATAGCCATCTGCCGATCTATCATCTACTGGGCCAGAAGGCGGCCATAGATTTGATGTTTACTGGGTTGGGTTTTTGAATGTTTGGTAAACGCTGTTTTGTTACAAAGTACATATACAGAATGGGCCTTTGAAAACGATACAGAGACTCTGTAGGTCGCCAAAACCGGATTATAAATAAAATTTGAAACACGTCAACTACATTTTCGAGGGGGACTTCGTTCTAAAATATTTTCAGCCCTGCGGCGTTGCCGCTTCTAACGAAAAGAAGCAACAACTTTGTTATTTCAAACGGAACACCTTGTATTTTATTGCATTTTTAGATTCTCCCCGAAGTGCTGATTTCATCAATGCATCACACTTGGCGTCTAGCTGTAATGGTTTCAGGGATATAAAGTGTTCAAAAATCGAGATTTCATGTTCCTATCTCAACTTGTGATTTACTATCTACTAACATTTAATTGGAACAGATACAGGGTGATCAGAATTCTGAATCTTGAACCTCCCTGTATTTGTTTCAAATAAATGTCAGTAGATAGTAAATCACAAGTTGAGATAGGGACATGAAAGCCGTTTTGACCAATAATCAATAGTTTCGACACAAAAAAATGCTATAGTTGAAAAATCTCGATTTTGGACACTTTATATCCCTGAAACCATTACAGCTAGACCCCAAGTGTGATGCATTGATGAAATCAGCTCTTCGGGAAGAATCTAAAAGTGCAATAAAATACAAGGTGTTCAATTTGAAATACCAAAGTTGATGCTTCTTTTCGTTAGAAGCGGCAACGCCGCTGGGCTGAACATATTTTAGAACGATGTCCCCCTTGAAAATGTAGTTGACATGTTTCAGATTTTTTTCATAATTCGGTTTTGGCGACCTACAGAGCCTCTGTTTCGTTTTCAAGGGCCCACTCTGTATAATAAGTATCTCAATCATCATTTCTTCATCATCTTCGCCAGTATCCGAAGAATCTATGATTTCGGAAATTATTGGATTGAACTACAAGTGACTTCAATGAGACATTCATAATTATTCAAATTTCTAACATTTTCCACTCGGATATTAAAGGTTATGTGTAAGCACTGTTGTGAAAACTCGAACTTGGAACGAGCATAATTTTTCGACGAAAGAACGCTCTTGAAATTCTCAGTGGACCACGAAAATCGCGCTCAATGCCGAAAAAGTAAGAGCTAGTGCGACGAATGAAACACGCTATTACTTAATGTAGTGCGGAGGGATATTGAACTGCAACTGTACAATTGTTATTTTACAATCTTTGCAGCCAAATTGTTGATTTTCAACCAAAAACAATCTATTTGAAACGAAAATTTCTTAAGGGATTATTGTTAGAACATAATGATTCTCACTTTATTTTACTGAATTCAAGATCACATATATGTGTGCAGTACCTTCAACATACTGAGTGTCAACGAATCTATTAGACAAGCCATAACTTCTAAATATTGAGTGTATCAAAATTATATTCAATTGGTTATATGGTATGTAAAGAGGAAAGTTTTTGCATATTTTTTATTTTCTGGTCACTTTCGGTTTCACCAGAAATGGTTACGGTTTTGAATTTCAAAATGGAACACCCTGTATATTGTAACATTTTTGAATATCTGAGACAATTCCGGATCAGAATATGACATTTATTACGACTTCAATTTCTCAGAATAACTTTTAATATTGCATCTAAGAGAAGTTCCTAAATATTTCGAACCATTACCATCACGTGATATGTTAAGATTCTTGTTTTTTTTCTGGTCCACTAATAGCATGACGTCAGCTCACTGTGATCAATTGTATTGTGATTCAGGCTTTCGAGCTGATACCCGAGGGTCTGGTTAATAATTCTAGGTATTTCTACGAACGAATGCGCATGCGTCCATAATGTATCACGTGATTAACTGTGACAAATCTGACTTCTTTTTCTTCTTATTTGTTTTTCTTGGTTTTCTGACTCGATGAGGTTTGGGAATTGTTCGAAAACTTCAAGCTCTCCTTATCTGAGGACCTCAGCTGATATCAGAATATAATAATCACAAAGTTTCAGTGTCTGGTATTGTGGATAGGAAGAAGACAAGTTGACAAAATTATTTTTCAAATGACAACCATTTTTTGACAAGCACTTTCCTAAAACAGGAATGTTTGACGAATCTGAAGATACTGATTTATTTGCGATTGGGTTGAAAATAAGAACATACATTTGATATTGATACAAAAATTGGATAATTTATTGATTCAAATTTTCAAAGTGTGGCATGGGTAACCATGTTGAATAATATTTCGCAGTTATTTTTTTCGAATCTTCTTCAGAAAACAAGGC